CTCGTGATATTACTAATAACATTGTTAAAACGTTATGTAGTAAACAGTGTGTAGTTAACAATACATTCTGTGTATCTAGCTCGTGATATTACTAATAACATTGTTAAAACGTTATGTAGTAAACAGTGTGTAGTTAACAATACATTCTGTGTATCTAGCTCGTGATATTACTAATAACATTGTTAAAACGTTATGTGGTAAACAGTGTGTAAATATGTAGCTAACAAAATCGTGGTATTACTATGATTACAAAAAAGGAAAACAAATATATATATATATATAGATTTTAAATGCAGATCCATTGATTTATTGCTGAAAATAAGTAAGTTTACATCGAAATAAACTAATGATATCAACAGTGTTAAACTGCTGGTATAGATAAGTTCTGAACAAACCAATTTACTGACAAGATGTTCATTACCTTTGGATATCTGACATTCATTAGACTCGGATAAATGTTATTTTCATCCATATAATCTCCATACCAGGGATATTGGACTTCTGGCACTCCACTATCGTCAAAAGAGGCGAAACACAGTCTTGTACCGTCTTCTGACCACCAGATGGGGTTCGTTTTCCCTAGAATTTCTTCTACAAAAAACAAAACAAAATAAAACTATACATTTAAGAAACACAGTCTGGATAATTATTCTGTTTATCTGAACAACTCTTTATTCAACACACATTATGTAGATATAAAATAAATTTCTTAAATTACTTTACATTTAGGATATATTTAGTCGGTAAATTAAAAATGTTTAATGTATTCTTTAAACTGCTATATATATCTCCATCTATCGTAAAGGTTCGGAGAAGAAGAAGCAAGTTGGCTATTGATTATTTCCTCTGTACTCTCAACAAGACACCATTGTCTGTAAGACCTGGGGCGGAGATTATATTCTAGTGTTTTGGTGAAAACGAAGGTGTTAAAAACTTTACAAGTTTTCTGTTTTGGCTCTCTCTCCTGTGACTCAAAGAGATTCAAAAGTAGCGTCATTCTCTGCCGTTACTCCGAGCAATAAGTGTAGTATTGGAGATGTACGTGGTATTTGGATGCCTTTATTAGTACATTTTTTTATATTTCTTTTCACATGGTCGGCGAAAACTTTATATCAACATTTGTTTTTATCCTGAAAAATCTATTGAGACAATATTAACCTAGAAACAGTTGCGAAGAACTACAATACGTACAAATCATTGTTAAAGTGAAAATGGTGGAGTGAGTGCAGAAATGTTTATCATCTATGGACTCTCATTGTTAAAGTTAAAATGGTGGAGTGCATGATAAACATTTCTCTATGGACTCTCATTGTTAAAGTTAAAATGGTGGAGTGC